CTGGGTAAGTACCCGGTTTGTGGCGCCCGGGGAGCTGGGTAAGTACCCGGTTTGTGTCACCCGGGGAGCTGGGTAAATACTCGGTTTGGGGGGCGCCCGGGGAGCTGGGTAACTACCCAGCTGGGGCATGTGGGGAACTGGGTAAATACCTGGTGACTAACTTCCTGGATCTCTGGTTCCCCTCCCCCAGGGCGAAGGTCTCTGAGCTGCCAATGGACCCCGAAAACCCGGTTTCCGGGGGGCTCTGTCACTCGTTGTCACCCTCCCATCCATCTGTCCATTGCGGGGGCCTGTGGGATGCCTGGGCCCTTTATGGCGGGGGCTCAAGCCGGGCCCCCCAGACCGCGCTCTCATCCACCACTGCCCCCAGACCTCCCAGCTTGTACCTAATTAAAGAGCCCCCCTGCTTCTGCCTGGCACGTGTGGGTTTCATTGGGAGCATGATTTGGGGTGGGGCAGTTGGGAGGAGGGGGGCTGCGGGTGGGGGTCCAGACTCTTAGGGGTCTGACCTCCCCCCCCAGGTCTTGGAGGAGGGGCTGATGCGGAGGTGGGAGCCATTCTAAGGGGGGCAGAGCCCTATGGAAGGGGCTGGGGGCCCAGGAGAGGGGGCAGAGCTGGGGGGCTCAGTGAAGGGGGCTACTCCTCCCACTGGCCCTTGATGGGGTGCAACTCTGCCTCCCATGCCCCCCCCAGATTCCCTCTTGCCCCCCAAGCCAGGCAGTCCATGCCCTGGAGCCAGGTGGGAGCCCCCGCCTTCTAGAGGGGACAGGCCCCTGCCCTATTCCCCACCCCCCTGAGCCAGGCAGTCTGTCTGGCGGGGGGGGGTGAGGGAATTGGATGGGAGGGTTGGATCTCTAATTCCCACCCTCTGCCCCCCCTTAGCTGGGAGGGAGCGACATCCCCCCACCCCATAGCCAGGGTGGTGTCCGGCCATTAAGATGCCGGTCAGCTCAGGTCCAAAGTAAGTCGTTTATTGGGGGGGGTCACACAGACAGGGGCTAGCGGGGGAGCAGCTGGGAGCAGGGTTCATGGGGGGGCGGGGAGTGGGAGTAGCAGGGATTGGGGGGGCAGGGGGCAGTGGGGCGTGGTCAGCGCCCACCGGACGACCTGGTTTGGGGGTTCTGCGGTGAGGTGCGAGGGGTCCGGGGGGGTGTGCGGGGTGTCTGCGGTG